AGACACTAGGCAGATTTGGAGCTGGGTTGGCAATAATAAGACTGCACACAAACTTCTTTACTCACTCAAACCTCTTTTCCTTTCTCCAGGAAATAGGCAAATTATACTGTAAGATTCTTGGCCTAATCAGGAAATCTAGCGTTTAACTATTTCCGCTCAAATATCAATACTGGATCTAAATATGTATCTTTTGTATGGAGCTATGGATGTATCATCACTTGATGCAAGAAAAGTTATAAAATGTTTCAAATTCTCAGTGATTCATCAACGGTCTAGTAAACTGAAGAGAACTTTCTCACTCTCTTCCCTTTCTCACTCTCTTCCCTTTCTCACTCTCTTCCCTTTCTCACTCTCTTCCCTTTGTCACTCTCTTCCCTTTGTCACTCTCTTCCCTTTGTCACTCTCTCCCCTTTGTCACTCTCTCCCCTTTGTCACTCTCTCCCCTTTGTCACTCTCTCCCCTTTGTCACTCTCTCCCCTTTGTTACTTCCTCTTCCCCTCTTTCTCGGTCCCTCTCTCCTCTACCCGTCTTTCTCCGACCCTCTCCCCTTCTTTCTTCGTCCCTGTCTCCCTCCTAACTTCCTCTCTATCTGATATATTTGATAAAATAACTACTCTAGATGTCAACAGAGGTGCAAGTCCAGGCGGGATACCTCCGATCTTTTTGAAGAACTCAAGCTTCATATTTTCACAAATTCTAAAGTTTTTTTGATAAGTCATTATCTGAGGGGACGTTTCCCATTGAATGGAAGTCCTCATTTATAATTTCTATATTTAAGTTGGGGGACACAAACAACATAGCTGATGATCGTTTAATCTCTACCTGTAGTTACCATACCAAAATGTTTTGAATCCATTGTGACTGGCAAATTGAAAATATTGCTACTATATCCTTATCTGTTGCTTAGACAATTTAGTTTTATGAGTATAAGAACTGTTGAAGCTAACCTTGCTTATTACACTCATTACCTATATGACTCTTCAAAAAATAAATATCAAGTGGGCAGTATTTATTCTGATTTGAGCCAAGCATTCGATTCAGTTAACCATTGATTACTTCTACAGAAATTGAAAGTATTTGCTATATCTGCACCCCTTCTCTTGTGGTTTACAAATTATCTTATAACTAGGGTTTAATTTGTGAAATACCAGAATTGTACTCCAGATTGTTTCACAGTTCTATCAGGAGTGCCTTGAGGATTATACCTGGGTCCACCTCTTTTGTTTATTTTTAATAATGATGCTCATTTAATTCTTAATGGTATATCTTAATGTTGAATATTTAATTTTTGCTAATGATTTAAAATTGTTCAAAGTTGTTGCTGGATTGGAAGATGCTATTATGTGTGCAGTGTGTTTTCAGTTTTTTTTTCTAAGTGATGTTTTGGTAATTACATATATTTAAATGTGAATGCATTACGTTCTTGCTGTCTAGATTGCCTGTTCAGTATGATCACAAAATTGATTCTGTTCTATTAGAGAAAGTTACTTCTATTACAGATCTAGTAGTCATTTTTATTCTACGCTTACGCTTTCTAATCGTAAAGATCTCACTGAAAATAAGGCTAACCAACCAAGAGTCAAATTTTGGGCTTCATTAGAACCTACCGTAGTTTCAACTCGATTGACACATTGAAGTCTCTCTATCTGATGCTTGTTAAGCCAATACTATTGTGCCAATCAGTTATTAGGTCTCCTTTTTATTTATATCGGATACAGAAATTGTAAACAGTACAACACACATTCTTTAGACTTGTTGCACCCTGATTGGCACTTCAGATCTTTTTATTGAACAACAAAATTCCAACATTTCTTTATTGCTAAACATCATCACATTAAAATCGTCCAGGGACGTGAATGACCAAACATTTCTCTATAATAGTTATTTATGTAAAAAGTCTTCTAAATTAATTTTTAAGGATGAGACTGGAAGGTTAACTGCGAGGCAGAGCAATAGCGGAACCAACCTTCCGGCTGAGTTCTTAAAGACTAATAGAGGACACGTTATATACAATGTTTTTTTGTTATTTCTAGTTATTCAAAATAAACATTTAACACTTTCTTGAGTTAAAAACTGTTAACCCTGTAGCGAGGAGTGTTGATACAAGATCTTGGTACCATTTTTAAATGACAGTCGCGGTGCACGGAAGGATAAAGGGGGACATGGGACAAAGCGGGAAAAGAACGAAGAGGACAACGGGGCAAAATGGACTAAATTGGAAAAGGGGAAGAAAGGGACAAAACGGGGAAAGGGGGACAAATTAGACATTGGGGACAAAACAGGGCAAATTGGACAAGGGGACCAATGGACGTCGGGACAAAATGAGCCAAGGGAGCAAACAGAAAACAAGACATACTTATCCTAAGATTTGTGAGCACTGGTAAAATCGAATTCCAAAAGTCGGAGAAATCTAAATCCGAGTTCAAATATTTTTATGAATTCGCGAACATTTTGTCGGGAGAGGTGGCTCAGGGTATCAACTGATATCACTTCAGTCCCTCTGACCGGGAGGTCCTAGGTTCGAGTCCCGTCAGTGGCAGAATTTTTGACACTAGCTTGTCCCCGAGTTCAGTCGCTGTCTGGGGGAGAATTCTATTCCCGCTGCTCTGGTCGATAGTTTTCCGTGGTTTCCCCGATCAACACCAAACGAATACCGGAGCAGTACCCTAACGGTACCCAGACGGTACACGGTCCGCGCGCGATCTTTCCTTCTTTTTTGCTTGCCCTATCCTCACCCCTTTAACATACACTAAGATGCACTACATTATGACTTGCCGGGAGACATGTTAGGAGCTTAGAGCTATCCCTGGCTGGGGCGGTGCCCCGCTGGTTGGGGAAACCCTGTTGACGACGGTAGGTTAGCGCCGGGCCTGGCCATACAGCAGGGAAGATCACTGCCATCTCCCGAGCAACTCTTACTTGACTAATGACGCTAGTAGTTGGCGCGCCTGAAATCACTGACAATCAATCAATCGAGCATTTTCGTGGATGTTGCTGTTGGCAAGTTCTTAATGGTGTGTTGCTAGGGAGCTAAGAGTATGTTTACCAATGTAAATAATAAAAAATAATAAATGAGAAGATAGACTGCTCTTTATCATTAAGTCAAATCAACTTGAGAGTTCCTGCTATATCAGTGAGAGAATCCAATCTTTTCCTTGTAAAAACTTATTGTGTGTTCACTTCAAAACATCCAATAACCAGAATGGGCAAATTAGCGACTAATACCTCTTGTGATCTTTTTGATCAAAGTTATTGTAAATTATTCTCCTTGGCGAGAAAATTTATCACTATATTCATGAATTATTCTAAGCAGACACTTATGTGCCACTTTTGTTATATTCTTTGTATTTTGTATTTTGCATCATGGACGTCATTCTGTTGATCAAACAATAAATAAAGATAAAAATGAGTGATTTTTTCCATTTTCAAAAGCCATACAATAAGATTTAATTACAATTAGCGAAAAGGAGTCTTTATTCTAGTTACTTTTATCGGAATACATGAACTTACTTGAACTCTCTACTATTGCCAGTTCAGCGGAATTAATAAATTTTGTTGTTTTTCAATGTAGTCTGCGAGGAAATATAGTTTTAGCGGTTAGTGAGAAATGTCACTTTTATTGATGGAATCTAGCTTGATTTTGATTTATAAATAATTTTTTTGTAAAACTTTGTTGTATAGGTTATCGGTAAACTATCAAGTTTTGTATAAAAAAAACTCGAGAATAACAGAATTTAGTACTATTATTTGATTGTAATTTAAGTATAATTTGAGGTTTTGTAACGATGTTGCCTATAATCACCTACTGGCATTGAACTCTTGTAACCAACAAATATGCTATTCTAATTTTGTGTTGGGAAATCAAGTGACAACCTGCAAGTGACTAATTCATCTGACAACACTAATTGTAAAATAAATTATTTATTTTATAAATTTTAGAAATTATACATATTTAAATACCTGTACAATATCTGTCGAAGAGGTCTTATTTCGTTCATATTCTTTAGTGTTAAGTCTAGACATTACGTAATTTTAAGAATTAAGATAGAACAATGGTAGAATAATAAGTATGCATAATTACAAAAAAAACAACTATTATGAATTTGTTATTTACATAAATCAAAATTTACGTTTTCAAACCTAATTGATATTCCATAGAGAAAAAAATGAACATGCATAAATTATCAATTAATAATCGTACTCATTTTATTAGTTACTATTATTAATCGTATTTAATTTTAGTCATAAATAGATATGTCTAATTCTTAAACATAAATTATGCTTACCAAATTGTAAAAAGGAGGTGGCAATTTTTCGCGTCGCGCACGCGCTTCGGGTAAAAATGCTGTTAATCTGCCTCTGCACCGACACAAGCACATGTGCCCCCACAAACATACAATGCAATTGGCACACATCCGCGCAATCGAATACATGCACACGCATACACCCACACGCGCTCGCTTATACACCCACGCGCGCATACACATATGTTCACTCTTCCTGAATTAAATGATTGTTATTTTATTAAGACATATATGAATGAAATTGATTTGACTCGAAATACAACGTCAATAGCTAAAATGATCAAACAACTCATATTAGATTTCACTGGATAGATATGCAACAATTGACAATACTTATTTTATGACAAACAAATATTTTGTAATCTTCAAGAGCGTATAAACCTATGTATATATGAAATGTATTTAGGCATTATATGCCTGATGGATAATAATAAATTAAAAAAAAAAAAATTGTGAAATTTCACATAAATTTTCATTTAAACGAAAGATACATTTTTGATTAATTTTAACATTAATTTACAGTTTGATATTAATAACATTATAATTATTATAAAAATGAAATAATTTTAATTTTTGTCACCGCTCTTAAAAGGAAATATGTTTTTTAAATGGGCATCTTGTTTTCATGATGTCATATGCTCCTTTATTTGTTATTTCACCAGGAAACCATTATTTATTTCCACTTGTTTTTGACAGCTGTGCCTTCAACCTGGTGCAGCAACGTCGATTCTGCATCAACCCAAATGAAGGATTCATGGCCCAGTTAGCAGAGTTTGAGCCGATATACAAGGCACAGCGCACCCTCCAGAATGGCCAGTGTTCGACGGAAAAAAGTCGCAATAAGAGGCGCATAGATCAAGTGGATGATGCTTCAGCTCCTGCAGACGATATGGATGTAACTTCTAGCTGATAAGAGTGATGCAAGACATTTTATTTTGTTTCTTAGCAGAATACTGCAGAACTCAGACCTTGATACATATTTTACCTTTCTTTTTTGTCCCTTTTTGTTAGTGAAATGGAAAGGAAAAAAGGCATTATAAATGCTCTGTTTTCAGAGTGTTATGCAACTGCAACCTATAACAATACTTTTGAGAGACCCAAGAGAGACTGCTACTTTATTGATTTTCATTTATATGACTTTGTAGTGAACTTGAAGTTGTAAAAGAATTTAAACAATAGTTCTCTATTTTCAGAGATGGTGTGACTGATGTGAATCTCTAGCTAAGCTCAAAAAACTCTTGACCTCTTTTCCTTTTTCTGTCACTGACTAGTGAAATGGAAAGGAAAGAAAAATAAATATAAAATAACGTGCTATTTTCTGAGATATCATTTAAGATACTTCTATAGACCTGATACTCATTAAAACTTGGACTTGCTTTTTTTCTTTCTTCTTTCTATCTTTAATTCGCATCTAGTGAAAAGGTCAGATTGAAGAAATGAGTGAAAAAGATAACAATTTTATTTTCAAATAAGATGTGTTTACTGATTAAGAACAATTGTGGTGAATTAACCAGTGTTATTATAATCAAGTTAGTGTAAAGGTAAAAAAAATGTGTTCTGTGGACTCAAGCAAGTTCAAAGAATTTGCATGTTAAGAATGTGTGTTAAAAAGACTGAATAAGATGTAAGAATGTTTCTGATGTTTACTTATCCACAAGTGGCAATTTTAGCTGTTTGATGTTAATTTAGTGTTATAATACTATGAAAATATGCCAAACCTGATCTGTTTGCATTAAGAGGTTGTATATACCAGTTCTGATTGCTCGTTGTTTATGGCACCTCATCTACTTTAATTCTGTTGTTTGGTTTATTAGATGAACTCAGTTGCTTATAATGTTAAATGCAGCTAATGAGAAGTTCTTAACTCTAAAAGCCAAAAAACAAAGTATCCATATCTGCTCATAAGTGATAATGTAAGAAATGGAACAGAATGCTCAAGTTAAATTGACATTGGATAATTCTAATTTCTAATGGAAATTTTGAATTATTTAATTGAAACCAAATTTCTTCTCATAGAAGTTCTTGTTTAAATTTATGAAACAAATCCTTATTTTATTCAAGTTTCCGAAGATAACATTTTGATTATTTGAATTCAGGAGTACCTAATCTGGAATTCAAACAGTATTCAACCCTGAGAAAGTGTCAAAGAGACTCTGAATTAACAATACTGAGTATGAAATCTATTTGGTAGAAGAGAGTTGTCAATGAAGAGTCAAGGAAATGTCATTGAGAAGGGACTTAACAAGTTCATTACCTTTGGCACTTTTATCGTCACAGCATCAAAACATAGAGAATGTTGAGCAATATGGCAATAGCAGTGTTATATCAGTATTTTGAAAAATGTTACTTCTGGGTAAATGTAGTTGTGAAAGCAAATAATTGAGGAAATTCAGTGAAAGGCACTGTTTACTTTCTTCAAGTTTTCTTGAGTATTTTGAACTGTTTAAATCATTCTATTGTAAACTCTGCTCAGTGGTTTTTCACTTTGGGAGGTTGCTGAAAATTTGTTTGGTATTCAAGCCAGTATGATATAGAAAGTTTATTTATTACTTAATTGCAATTTGGGATTCTCTGGGAGATTGAATTAAAGAGAATCCCCAACTCACAGGGAGTATCACCCTGCCTGTTTACCTATGTGCAAAAATACAAATTCTGGGAATTGTAAATCTTTTTGAAATATAAATTATTTTTTAGTATTGTGCCAGTGGAATTGTTTTTAGCAGGTTGCGGTTTTGTGCCCATATCCAAATTTAAAAAAACATTTGGCTTCTATGAGGCCTAGTGTGAAACAATGGTGCCTGTTCTTGAACAGTGTGACTTTAAGATGGTTGTAGAGATTTATAAGTTCTGTGGCTTTGATAGTTCTGATGGTTAATATTGTTCTTTTTTTATAATCATTACATTTGCAACTGGAATGTTTTCAGAGACTCTTAAAGCTTATTCTTAGACTATTTCTGTCAAAAATCTATTTTCCTCCTGCATCCTCGGAAGGATATTTTCAGTCTTGTAACTGAATACTTCTGTTGCGTGTTATTTTCTGCCTGAATGCTGCTGTGTCCTGATCAGCGATATCACTAGTTTGGCTGTCAGTTTCAGAGTTTTTCTTCGTGATATTAGTGTACTTTACACATTCTGTACAGTGATAGTCTGAAGATTACCAAACAGTGGTTGAAATATTTGTATTTTGATTCAGGGCAAAGCACACGTAGCTTGGTTGACATTTGGTGTCATGCATGAAGAGAAAATAAGAGAAAAAAAATATTTGATAACTTGTACCTTGATTTTATTCCATCTTTTTATCCCATCTATCTCTTGTTTTCCATTTCTCTATCCGTGCCTCTCTTTCTTCCTCACATTTTCCCTTTTCTTCATTCCTTTCACTCTTTCTTTGTCTTGTCCTCTCAAAGTTTTTCTTTCTCTCTCTTGTTCTACCTTTCTCTCTCAACAACTCCTACTAACATATTCCCATCTTTTTTTTCTCTCTCTCTTCAATGTTTGCTTTCATCATGAATTGGAGCTGCATTACATGTCAAATTGAGGGTTTGTTGGGAAATATAACATTGCATAATTTTGAATATATGAACAGAGAAAGTTATTGGAAATGATCATATTGTTTTTATTTTTAGAAACAAGCATTACTGAAACTGGTTAGAATTTTTGATTGTTCAATCTTTTTGTAACTATCCTTTTTCATGCTGGAAAATAATTTTCCTAATCTTCTGTTGAATTTTTTGGTGTCAGTGCTTTGATAATTATATTCTTGTTTGAATATGTATTCCTTACTATTTCCAAACATACAAGTGCAATGGTACATCAATAATAAATGGTCACATTATTTCTATTGCTTTGTCTTTTGAAACTGCCAATTTATGTGTGTGTGTGTGTGTAAAATATATTTATCGTTCAGGTATGCTGTGTACTACAATCAGTATTATATAGGTAATAATATTTTTGCTGAATTACTTTGGAATACATTTATTTTGTGAATATTGTAGGAGTGTGATTTATTCTTTTTACAAAGTATGGACAAGAGGATCTAAGTAAATGTGTTATATATTATCTTCTTATTGTGCAGTTTCTTATCCACTCTTTACAAATGTTTTGTTCCTTGTCATGGTTGGATATTTTTTTTATTTGCAACTTAATTCGTCCTGCATGATGTTGGAGTACCTGAGGAGAATTGCATTGCAAAGTAATAACTTTCATATTTCTGGAGGTTTAATATTACTTTAATTATGTTTTCATTGAAAAGCTTAGTTATGAGAAGTTCAACTTCTAAACCCTCAATTAAATGAGACAGGCCCATTTTCGGGATAGTTCTGTGAAGCAAGGGTGTTTTTTTTTAGATATTTGTTTATATGATTATACCTACACATATCACTTGCAAGGTACGTTCCAATGTATGGCAAGGAAACGGCATGAACTGTTTTTATATCTTCTTGTAAGTTAATGTTTATTTTGAATGTTGTAAATTGAAATACACTGTTTAAAGGAATAGATTTTAAAATTTGATATTAGATTTTTATATTGTCATCCCAGTTATTAGAAACAAAGATAATACAGGAATATTATTTCCAAAGTTAACCCTGAATTCCTTTAAAGTGATTATATTTACCTAATGTAATTCTGAGGAGTGTGATAAAGAATTTTTGTTGCTTATATCTTTAAAAAAAATTGAATTATTTGCCAAGAAAAGAGGGAAACAAAACCAAAATTTTGAAGTAGTTTCCTTTAGAAAGGCCAATGAATGTGTTAATGCCATTGATGAATTTCTTAGTGTTCTAATAAAGGTGAAAACCTTAATGAATCATTATGTTAGTAAAGCAGGATGAAGGATGTGTAAGAATAAGCTTCCAGCAAAACAACTTTTGTGATTATTGTTAGAGGTACATATTTATCAAGATACATGAACTTTAATTATTATTTTTCAAGTGAGTACTTATTCATATTTAATTAAGATGTGGAAGAGTGCATTTAGAAATAATGTTTCTGCAATTAATAAGATATTATTTTTCCTATGATAAATATTTGACATGTGTTGTGAGAGAAGCTATGACTTGTATTTGCTCAGTATGAATAATTGCCATTCTAGAATGCCCAAATGAAAACTTGAAATTATGCCATTTGTGGGGAGACTGTGATATTGATATCATATTTTATTTTAGATACTGTTTGTGCAGTTCAGTTAGCTGACAACTTGCTAAGTAAATGAAAGTCTTTCAGTTACATTAAAATTGTTTTATGTATGGATATTTCAGCACATTGTCACATATGCTAAAATTGCTGAAGTATTGATATGTAAAACACTGAAGATGACATGATGTGTTAAAAAAATGTATACTCTTAATAAAGCCATCATTTCTACAGTATCCTAGCAGAAGGTTTCCTAAAGGTAGCAAGTATTATTTTATCATGTAAAGTTGGTTTAGACTTCTGTTAAATGTCTAAAAGGAAGCTTTTGATTCATGAACTTCAAGAATGTTCATGTCACAATGTCATCAGACATTTCAAACACATTGTGTCAGAACATTGAAAGTCTGGGAATGAAAATAAAAATAAATTGTTTCATGAGAAATTATATTTTGTTCCTTCATGAAGTCGGTTTCCTCTCATTGATTTAATGTTTGATTCTTTTGCATGTATTTACAATAAGAATTCCATTTCAGTGGTGAGAAACTCCCATCAGGAAAGTCATTGATTACTATGTGAAAATTGAGTGTTAACGTACGCTCAAACCAAATATTGAAAACCATGTTTTTTATTTATTAAGAATAAAGGACTGATCTGAGTAATTACTTTGTACATATTTCTTGCTTGTGTCCACCTCAATTAAATTAATTAAATAATTGTCTTCTGATTAACAATCAACTAATTAAAGTTATCGTAGATCATTCAGGGAATTCAGGAACTGAATTTCATTTTTTGAGTAAAGCTTAATGGTTTGTTTTGGGGCAGAATGCTTGTAAGAAGGAATCTAATTCTTAACATACAAATCTCAGAATGAAATGATTTTATGGGATCAAATAAGCTCTCTCTACCAGAAATATGCTTCACTTTGAAAAGAATGCTTCTTAGTGATCTGCGAGTGATTATACTAACGAAATTCTCCTTAAGTGAACATAGTGTGGAGGACTATGTGTTCTGACAACAGACTGAATGTTTTCTTTCTCTTTCCTATTTACTGATGGGAACTGTTCAGCCATACCTTTTTGGAAAATCTTATCCAGACTTTCACTTTGATTGTGCAGACTCAAGCTCTCCGGTTTTCAATTGTTCCAATTTTTTCAGTTATGAGAAACATTGTTTTCATTAGTTTGGTTCTTTGATAAAATGGTTACCCCTTACATTGCAAACATGGTGACAGACAAAATAATGTTTATAGAAGCAGCATTTCAAGGTTTTGAGTCAATAGGATAAATATATAGTATTACTTACTGTAAATGAAATAAATTAATATATGATGAACTTCTAACACTCCTTAGTAATGTAACATAAAAACAAAGTTATATGGTGGATTAGTTGTTTTACATACTTTAATTGATATGAGGGGCAAACCCATATATGTATACACATCATTTTTTATTTTAAAATAAAAAAAAACATGGACTTAATTACAAACATTTATATGCATTATACATATGTATACATATATGCACGCACACACACGCAGTGCATGATTTGCAAATTTGTAGGTCCTGGAAAGAGCCTCAAATTAATTATTATTTCAATAGAAATAGTTACATATGTATAATATAATTTATAAATTATAAACCGTAACAATTACAAATATTAAAGAGCTTCCAAGGATGGAAAACCGTAGATGAGAGGCATCAGTTTCAAATAATGTTCCAATTTTGGTTTTTGATGAAATCATTTTAGTTTTAATTCAGTTTTTGTGTTGGAAAGAGTTCTGAATGGTTTTTCTATATTTATATTAATTCATTATCAAAGAAATTATATTGTCTAAAAAGAGTATTTTTTTAATATTGCTTGAAACCTACTTATTTCAAAAAAATGTGCATGCTCGTAATGAAAGAACTAATTATGGAGAAAACCTTTATTTCAATGAAAAATCTCTTATCTTATTGTGTAGTTGTAGTGAGACGTGAAAAATATTCAAACTTTTGCAATTTTCGAAAATGAGTTAACAGTGAAAATCAGACTATGCCACCTTTAAAAGTGTATTTTACTCTATTTTTACAAGAAATTTAAAGAAAAAATTGGTTCTATATTTTAGAAAATTTTGAATATTTCACAGGGAGTTTCATGTAAATTCCCCACAAAATTAATGAATGTTTTTCAAAATCCCTGACCTTTGAGGCCAGATCAAATCCTACTGATAGTTTAGGCACTAGTGGTTTTCACAGATAACAGATGTACAGTCTAACGAATGAACCTTTTCAAAGAAGAAAAACACCTCTTTATTATCAGGTGACTCCAAAATATGTATTTCCATTGAAGTCTGGAAATTGGTTTTCTGCAGCATTACTATATTATATAGAGTCTCTATATTATGACGCAGTAAAATGGTTGAACACACACAACTTGACTTTAAATTATGAAGTTAAATTTATCAAACATAAAGTATAAAAAACTAAGTATTGTAAGATTTACGTAAAAAATAAATCAAATGAGGAATTGAGAAGCCCTGATAACCTGAATAAATGTAACTTTTTTTTATCATTTCAGTGAAAACGGTATGAATATACATGTTAGTTCAATGTTTACAGGTTGCATTTAATTCTGAGTAAATTTTAAATTGTTTCAATTTCAAGATCTTGGAACCTGACACATTTTCACATATAATCCCTGCCCACAATTTTTTTAATACTTAAGTTTCTGCTCTTAACTAAATTTTCTCAGAAGCTGCTCTTGTCTCCATTAGCCTCGTAATGCCATAAAATTGTCAATGAAAGTTACATATGTATAGTTACTCATGAACATTGCAATGTGTGTTCGTAACCATTTTTCATTGAAATGAATAAAAAAAGTGTTACTTTGAAGAAATGGCTTGTTTCTGATTAACCCCAGTTGGAACATTTTTCTTTTTTTAAATTTTCGTTCACAAAAATTAATTTTGGAAATTGATATAATTGGTCTCTATATAATTGTAGTTATAGAACATCAGTTTTTGTGTGTGGTGGGTAAATATCATGTACTGTTTCAGTTTAATGCCATTCTTTTCACTTCACTTAAATTCTCTCACACATCTAACAAAATCTGGACTTCGTCTTTTCATTCTGTATTCAACCAGAATCTTTATATTTGTTAAGGCAAATGGAAAAGCTCAAAAAACACTAAGCTCAAATGGTTATTTATGTTTTAAATTTTAACAAGTTTTTTAATTTGTTTGTTTCTCCCAAATAATGTTAAGAAAATAATTTTGAAGACCACAATTTTAAATGCACTAAGATTTTCAATTCTCTGGAATTTTGCTATCCATTTTCTAAAAAATAATGTAAATAGTTTTGAAGAAAAATTTTTAAATGGGAGTGGCCTCATGAATAGTATTGAGGTGGGCTTGCAATATGATGAGTTGTGATGTTAATTTTCAGTTTGGTATTGTAAAAAATGTAGAAGTATAAATCATTTATAACTCAAACTACACACTGCTAAAGTAACTAACGTGACTTATTGTGAATGCAGCAAATGTGTGTCGTGGAAATGCCTAGGTTGATAAGAAATATAGATGGTGATCCCACATCTGTGTCACTTGTGGAAAAATAATTGTAAATAAATTATTAAGCATGATTGATGGTTATTTACATAGGGTATTCCTTTGGTAAAAGAACCATAACCTAAATTTGAAGCAAAAAGTGCTGGGACAATGAGACTAAGTAAGATGAAAATAATTTTTAGGTTATAAGGAGTGATTTAGGCATTTTACTTTATGGGCTCTGAGATCTTTTTTGCTTCATTTTCTTCCTTTTGAATAAACCCAATTGAGACAATGTGCAGTACATAGAAGTATATTTTACTTTTCTTTTGTGTTTAAATACCTTTTTTATTTTATTTCTTTTGCACCTATTTCTTTCTTATATTATTTATAATCAGTTTTTAGAACTATGAGGTATTGAACATATCATTGAAGGTAATAACAAAGCTGTTTGGAAACTTTTATTAGAAAAGGGGTGAATGAGGGATAAAATTGGAAAGAACCATAAACCACAGTAGCACCTACAAGGCTGTGAAATGTCTCAGTTGAATGCAACTTTGATATCTCATATGAAATAATTAATCTGTGTTGCACTATCAGTGATAATGACGGAAAAAATAATACACTTTGTTTAATGATAATGAGATGTCGGTAGTTTACAGACATCATATCCTGGTATCACATTTTTGAAACTTCAATCTTAGAGCCCAAACTCAATAGGTTTGTTTGTTTGTTTGTTGTTGTTTTTTTCTTTTTTTTTTTTCTTTTCTTTCTTTCTTTTCACACAGTTATCTGTTTAGTAGTAATTTTTATGCATGATATTAATAATTTTGTAACAAATTTCAAATAGCAATTGATGAAGAGAAATGAAAAAATGGGCATTACACATATAATTATTCTTCATAAACTTTCTATGCACTCCCTCTTTTTTCCTCAATTAAAATTCCTAATTGCTGGAGTGTTGGGTGTGTTTTCCTTATAATTCTGTGATATTTTCTCTAACATTTAATACAAAATTTGGGAATATTTTTTTCCTACATGAACCTCTTTCTAAGCTATAAAGTCTTAGGTTTTATTTCCTCTTTTCTTATTTTAGCTAACAATATCTGAAATCAGAAGTTTTCGAGGGCATTCTAGACCAAATAAGTTAATGGTTTCTGTGAAAATGTGTATTTATATTCGAGAGTATTTAGTCTGTGAGTATTTTGTGTGTAAAACTGGATGGTGCCTGCAAATCTGCAGAAATTGACTCCATTCACTGTATCTTGCCATTGTACTTCATCTGTCCAAAGAAACGTATTGAGTTTCACCTCAGGAACTTTGCTAGGAAATATTGACATAGTTGTAACTTACAAAAACTAGGCTTAGAATTATGATAATGAGTATATCACAATAGAGAGAAATGATTTGCTATGATTGATGTTCAATGTTTTTCATAACATTATTCAATATTATTTCAGTATAATGAAACTCAAGGGTCAGATAAGTTTGTTTTTTTTATTATAGAGAAATTTTCATTTTATGGTGAGCAAAAAAAGGAAAAATTTCTTAAAGACATTATATCTCAAGTTCAAAGACAAATCATCTCACAACTCACTTTTATTTTCTACCTTTCATCATGAAAGTTTTTTCTCAAAACAATAAAGAGGAGAGTTTTCACATTTGTGTTTTTTTACCTGAAAACCAGGATGAGAATTTTATAATTTTTTTGTTAACTGATACGTGGCTGGAGAAAAGCAATGTGCACTTTTACATTTTTTCTCTTTATCATTTCTTATTTTCATATTTGGGTACATTCACTGGACTGGAAAAGTTAAATAAACTATTTATAATTTTTGGGTATATATTTCTGCTTCTTTTACTCTTTATATAATAGTGTTACATATCTACGTATATTTTGTTGCACTAGTCTGACATTATAATATGCATCTAGGGGTTTTGGTAATTTAATGTCGAAGATTCAAATTAAAAAATATTTGAATGTAGTTGTAAAACAAGAAATTAATGTAATAAGTATATATTATCAATACCTTCATAATTTTTGTGTAAAAAATCTCTTAGAAATTAAGATTTTTTCAATATTCTAATGTGTCTTAATTGAAGATATTTGCTTGAAATTTATTGATCCCATTGAATAAGAAAATGTATTATAGAGAGTATTTGACTGCAATTTTCAATCAGTGCCGGTGCTAAGTGTAGAAAGATAGGGCTATCGTTTGGGGCTGGTTAGCTGGAAAGCCCAAAATTTAACAAGTAAAATGTTCAAAGCATATTACTCTGTCAGGGAATCAAACCTGGTTCTTCTGATTATGCCCAGTCGTTATAACCATTGGACAATTGAGACAACACAACCAGAAGATGACAGAATGGTGAACATTAAATATCAAAATTTAATATTCTAAGTAAAATGTAAACAAAATAGAAAAACATTTCACACTTTAAATATTTTTGCCCTAGTTTCATAAGCCAATTGAAAGTAGTCAGTTGCAGAAAATTTGAAATTAACATGGTTTAAATATATTTTTAGGTAAATTCATAAGAGTGTAGTTTCATTAAGAATAATTTAGTTCTGTGGTTAAATTTTGTTATTAATATATTAAATATAAATTGTAAAGTTAGATTCAATTTAATTACAAAAACCAACACATGTATGCTTCATTAGACTTCATTTGGAGAGAGGCTTGAATTTCAGTTTTGAAAGGGCTGAAAATTGCTTACGTGATATTATAATGTACAATGGCACTTTTCTTTCCATGGAGTAAATAGTGACCTTCTAAGAGTATTTTAAGAGTAAAAAAATCAGATAAAAGAGGAGCCTGCATCTTAATACATTAGTTCTTTGTGCAATCCAGTTGATTAACCAATTTTTTGAAGTTATTACTTCAAAGTGGATCTGTAATATAAAAAAATTGAGTAAATGAGAATGTAGACAACTCACATTTCATCCTGCAATTCAGTGTTCATTCAGTTTGAAGAGTTACCAAATCATATCTCACTGTGGACATAAAAGTTCTATTCTTTTGAATAAATAAATTTGGCTAGCCCTTTTGACAACCATTCAGTTTGACTTGACTTTTGGTTAGTGTTCATTCAGTCACTCAGTTTGAAGAGTTATTGAATCGTATCCCATGGTGAGCATGAAATATCTTTTTCTTCTCTAAATACATTGGGTTGGTCTTGTAACAGGTGATTAGTGTTCTTTCAATCTTTCAATTTGAAGGATTGTTGGATTGTATTTCATTAAGAGATTGAAAGATCCATTCTCTTCTCTAAATAAATTGGGCTGACCCATTTAACACATGGTTAGTGAAAACCCATTCAGTTTGACGAGTTGTAAAATCGTATCTCATTGTGAGCATGAAATATCCATTGTCTTCTCTAAATAAATTGGGCAAGTCTTGTAACAGGTGGTTAGTGTTTTTCAACCATTCAGTTTGAAGGGTTGTTGAATCGTATCTCATTGTGAGCATGAAAGATCCATTGTGTTCTGTAAATAAATTGGGCTGACCTTTGTAATAGGTGGTTAGTGTTCTTTCATTTATTCAGTTTGAAGAGATGTTGAATTTTATCTCATTGTGAGCATGAAAGATCCATTGTCTTCTGTAAATAAATTGGACTGACCTTTGTAATAAGTGGTTAGTGTTCTTTCATTCATTCAGTTTGAAGAGATGTTGAATTGTATCTCATTGAGAGCATGAAAATCCATTGTCTTCTCTAAATAAATGGGGCTGGTTTGTAACAGGTGACTAGTGTTTTTCAAACTTTCAGTTGTTAAATCATGTTCCATTGAGAACATGAAAAATCAATTTTAATCTCTAAATAAATTGTTTTGGCTCTTCTAACACATGGTTAATGAAAACCCCTTCAGTTTGAATTGTGTTTCATTGTGAGCATGAAAGACCATTTTCTTCTCTAAATAAATGGATCAGGTTTTGTTACAGCTGTTTTTTCAAACTTTTAGTTTGAAGGGTTGTTGAATCATGATCCATTGAGAACATGAAAAATACATTCCATCCTCTAAATAAATTGTGCTGTCTCTTTTAACACATGGTTAGTGAAAACCCATTCAGTTTGATGAGTTGTAAAATCGTATCTCATTGTGAGCATGAAATATCCATTGTCTTCTCTAAATAAATTGGGCAAATCTTGTAACTGGTGGTTAGACTTCTTTCAACCATTCAGTTTGAAGAGTTGTTGAATCGTATCCCATTGTGAGCATGAAAGATCCATTGTCTCGTGTAAATAAATTGGGCTGGCTTTTGTAACAGGTGGTTATAGTTCTTTCAACCATTCAGTTTGAATGGGTGTTGAATCTTATCCCATTGTGAATATGAAAGATCCATTGCCTTGTGAAAATAAATTATGGCTAACTTGATATTCACTTTGAAGGGGTGCTAAATTGTATCCCTTTGCTGCCATTCTCTTATAAAATAAGTTTGGTTGGTCTTTCTAATGGAGGTAGTTCTAGCTTTCATTCTATTCAAAGGATTGCATTAAAGGCATAATAGATACATTGTCTTGGATAAATAAATCGATCTGACCTGTTACACCCTTGTAACAAGCGATTTATGTTTATTCAGTCACTCAGTTTGATAGGTTGCTAATTGTATCTCGTGACCATGAAAGATGTGTAAATTAATTGGGTTGGTCTTTTT